CAATAAATACATCCCTTCCAGAAGTCGGGATATGCTGCACGTATTAGCTCCAGAATTACCACGGTTATCCGAGTGGTAAGGAGACCACCAAATAAATGATAACTGATTTAATGAGCCATTCGCAGTTTCTTTTTTTTTTTTTTACCGACACACACATGCTGCCCCATCTATTCTGGGGGGCTCCAGTCCGGTTACTTATCCCCGGCAAGCAAATCTGAGAAAAAACAAGCATAGGAAGAGACAAGCAGAGAAGGAAGGGGCTTAACCTGCCTGGCCCGAGACACCAACCAGCAGGGGACTAAACCAGGTGATCATTCCCAGTAATCAGAGGGGGGCCGGGGCAGTGCATGGTGGGCGGGAAACTTCCTGATGGTACCCAGACCCCATCATAAACTGTCCCAGGATCCTCCTCTCCTGAGAAAGGTCGCCCCGGCATAATCTGCTAGCCCTCAATCATGTTTGTTTATCCAAGCACTAAAATCTCTACCTAAACAGAGACTCCAAATCTATACCACCGCTTCCACTATTCCACATCCACATCACTTCGTGACCCTAAACACCCTGTATACCCTTCACTTCTTACCCTATGGGCTACTCTACCATTACTACTAACAACAGTTCCATTAGTAAGCCAGTCAGTTCCCACCCATATTGCTGTTCATCCTCAAAAAGTCTGTGTTAGCTTAGTGACTCCCGATAGGTTCACTCAATCCCTCCCCCCCCCCTCCCCCTCCCCCCCTCTACTAGTGTACACTACTGTACTCTACTGCACATTGATGGCCCTATTCTAACCCCACTCCATTCGACTGCTCCTACACAGATTCTCTGGCACCCAGCACCAGACCATATTTCCAGAGATTCACATCCCCATCCTGCTGGACCAGGCCTGGGTATTCCCCCCACACTTCCCAAAACTTTGGCAATCCCTGGCCTGCAGTTCTTCTACTGCGAAGGGCTTCCGCTGACATCGTTGTTCTCAGGTTCTCCAAGGCACGGGCCTGCAGGGCTGGGAGGGTGACCTCCCTCCCTTGCCTACAACGCTCGTTCCGGAGGGTCCATATCGTCCAAAGGGCAGCCGCACGCAGCACCTCCAGGGCATATAATTCCTTCTTGTTTCTCCTTTCCACTTTGACCACGGCTCCCAATAGAATCTCTGCGTCATCATCTTCTGAAACCCGGAGAGGGGTGGAGGCCGCCACATCTGCATCCCACCACTTCCAGAACTGTTGGATGACCGGGCACTTGACAAACAGATGCGGAATCGTTTCCACCTGACCACACCCTGCGCCACAGCGGTCATCCAAGTAATTACTTTTGCTTGCCTGCCACTGCGCTGTTGGGATCGCCAGATGGTAGATGAGCCAGAGCAGACCCGCTTGTTTTTGGTTTGACAAAGATTGCAACAGAGCGCACTGCTCCCTCCATACTCTCGGCCTCCAGCGGAGTAAGTACACCGCTGGCAGCCACTGACGCTTGCTCCACCTGTTCACCAACTCATCGCAGATGTCAGTTTGCGGGAGGAGAGACCTATATATGATCTTGGTAGTGACTTGAGGGAGCGGGCATTTTTTATTGTTATAATTCTGCCTGGGCCAACTCCAGTCGTTTGGGTCCACAGCTAGTTCCCTCCGTGTGTCTCCTCTAAAGGGAAATGGGTGCAGTCTGCGGACAGGATGTCGGCAGCTTTTTTAGCACGAGCACGTGCTGAGAGAACCTCAACGGTGATAACAGCGCTGCGTCACCCGTTTCGAGAAGAGGAGGCCATGGCTGAGAAGACAGCGGAGATTCTCGATTATGCTGAACTCTTCTACTCAACGCTATTTGAGGAAGAGGAGAACGGGGAAGATGGCGACCTGAAAGACAGGGCCTGGGACCGGATCTGGTCCAAATGTGAGACCTTCCTTTCGCCCTTACAGAGTCAGACTCTGGAGAGGGAGATCACCCGAGAAGAGATAGACTGTGCATTAGCAGCATTGCCAAAAAGAAAGGCAGCTGGTCCGGATGGGATGCCCATGGACCATTTACACGCAGTCAAAGAACTGATTCTGCCCGTTTTATTGGAAATGTACAACTCTTTCTTTTCGGGTCGGGTGCCTATTCCCAAGGGATTTGGGGAGGCAACGATAGTACTGATACATAAGAAAGGGGAGCGGACTGATATTAGAAACTGGCGCCCGATCTCTCTTTTGTCTGCGCCATTCAAACTCTACGCGAAGGTCCAATATAGGCTAGCTGCGGTCCTCCCAGGTCTCATCCACCCCACACAGATGGGGTTTGTGTCGGGCAGACAGATCCTGTCGAATGTAATAATGGTACGGGAGGCTATCCAAATGGCAACACAGTTGGAGCGGCCTCTCACAGTCCTTTTTTTGGATTTTGAGAAAGCGTATGACTGGGTGAGGTGGCGGTTCCTGACACAGGGGCTGGAGGAAAGAGGGTTTGGACCTGGTTTTAATGCGGCTGTGACAAATCTGCTGCGAACGGCTGAAGCACGCCTGGAAATCAATGGCTGCAAATCGAGACTGCTAACAATCACACGATCTGTTCGTCAAGGCTGCCCACTGTCACCGACACTATATATTCTCTATGTAGAACACTTGCATGAGATGCTGCGAGCTGACGAAAGAATAAGAGGTCTGCCGCTGTCAGAGGGAGAAGGGCTGACATCGAATGGGTTCGCAGATGATATGGCAGCCTTCACTGAGTGCTCAGAAAGCAGTGTGGGAGCCCTGAGAGAACTGATTGCAGTCTACGAAAGCTTTGCTGGGGCCAAAGTGAATTGGAATAAATCAGCAGTGTTGTTAACAGAACAGAGAGGGGAGGTGTTTTTCGAAGACATGCAGATTGTGGAGCCGGGGACGGGTATTAAGTACCTGGGAGTGGGAGTTCCTGCGGCGCTGACGACTGGTGAGCAGATTGAGGGCTTACTGGTGGAAGCACTCAGAAAGATGAACAGATGGACAGCACGGACCGAGGTGGGGGTGATGGGAAGGGTGATAGTGGTGAACAATGCTATCTCGTCAACTCTGTGGTACGTGGCTCCGTTGTCTGCCCCTAATAAGCGTGCTTGGCGAGAATATAAGCTGAGGATCCGCCGGTACCTGTGGAAAAACGATCCCTACACCTTGCACTTGATCTACAGGGTGTGATGGGAGAAGCTCATCCAGCCACGTGGGAAAGGGGGACTGGGTCTGTTGGATCCACATGAAAAGGCGACGGCACTTCAAATGCAGACTGTTCTTTGACTGCTGTTGGAAAGGGATGATGCACCTTGGAAAACGCTGACTTTGGCCACTATGGCACAGGCTCTAAAAACGGACCCAGCGGATGTGGAAACGGCGCTGCTCCACCCACAACTGCAGTAGGGACTGGCTAGACATGCCTTGTGGACTCCGACTTTGGAGCAATGGAGGAGATCAACGCTGAGGCAGAAGACGCCAGTGACAATGTCACACGTCCTGGGACAAAGTCTCTTTGGGAATCGCCTGATTTGCAAGGATGGCAGACCATTTCCATGGCAAAGGGGACTTGGCGCCTTTGGGAAGCTATGGCTCAAATGTGGAGTGCACAGAGTGATGGACCTGTGGGATGGAGCTAGGGGAGGATGGAAGGAGGATCAGGCCTTAGAACCAGTGCTGAGACAACAGCCGGATAGAACCCGCCGACTGCAGCAGATCAGACAGGCCATTCCACCCGAATGGATCAACACGTTAAAAAAGAACGAATGGGTGGAAGGCGAATGGGTGGCGCTGACTACAGAAAACCCTCCGGCTGTGGTTTTCAGACTCCTTTACAGAGAGGGAGAGGACTGGTACAGGGCCGAGGGATGGAGAGTGGGAGAATCAAGAGGGCCAGTTGGAGAACTGATGATGCGGGATCCAGGGAGGGATGGAGTGATACACAGGCAAAACATACGCTCGGTTGTTGTACTGCGGGACAAGGTTCAGAAACATGGGGAGAGGTTTCGCCCATACAAGGTGGATCGCCATCCGTTGCAACTGGCATGGGATCCTTCTGCGTGGGAGTGGACAGCAACGAACTCACAAAGGAAGGCTGTCAGCCCACATCAAGTCACCACTATGGTTATATACAGAACTCTGAATGCCCCCACAGACATGGCGGATGAGATGAAAGGGAGATGGACGAAAAGGGGATGGCTTCAGCCGAGTGAGGTGATACACTGGACAGAGGGTACCTGGGAGCGGGCTTGTAGTCTGCTTACAATGCTCCCGGACCAGAAACAGGCAGGGGGACTGTGGCTAAATCTGCAATTGGCGGTGCCCACCTTTCAGTGGATGGAGGCGCACAGTGTAGCTGCAGACAAGGATTGCAAAGTTTGCGCGACAGAACAGGAGACCCTCCCACACTTGTGGCTCGACTGTCCTCTGCAGGCGGAATTCTGGCAGTGGTGGGAGAATCTCGCTGAACAGATACCTCTTTGCCCCTCTGGCCACCTCCATCGGCCATCAGTTTTGGTGGGCCAAATTTTGACAGGACAGGTTTCCTCATGTGTGCAAGCATATGCAGGAGATATGGTGCGTGGAGCCTTTTGGGCCGCTAATTGGGCAATGAGGACGAGGTATCTGAGGGAGGGGATTGAAGGATCCAGAGAGGTGCTGAGGGCCTGGTTTCTCAAAAACCTCAAGATCTCAATACTGGCACATGCTCGGAAAAGAGAGAGAGGGGGATGGAACTTTCTCCGAACAGCATGGCCGAAATTTGGAGAGATTGTGGTCTTTGGGAATGATCCGGGGCAATGGTGTTAAGGAGAGAAGATGCGGCAATTGGGTGGGCCTGAAGAAGGTGGATGACGGACATGTACAGTAAATTAGTTGTATATATGTGTAGAGAGATTTGGAGGAAATGAGGGTGAGGTCAACAGGTGACAGAGTGTGCAGTCTGTGCGGACGCGAATAGATTCGGAGGGAATGCGGGTGATGTCAACAGGTGACAGAGTGTGCAGTCTGTGCGGGTGCGAATACATGACAGTAAAGTAGTTGTATATATGTGTAGAGAGACTTGGAGGGAAAGCGGGTGATGTCGATATGTGATAGAAGGTGCAGTTTGTGGGAGACTTGGAGGAAATACGGGTGTGAATACATGACAGATTTGAAGGGAGTGCGGTTGATGTAAATAGATGTAAATAGGTGATCGAGTGTGCAGTCTGTGGGAGAATTGGAGGGAATGTGGGTGCAAATGCACAAACAGAGTGAGAGGTAGTGAGGTCTGTGTAAGTCTGTGGGGAGATTTGGAGGGAATGGGGGGCAGCGGACCAAGATGACAGTGTGAGTAGGGAGGACTGTGCAGAGTTTTTGGGTTCGTTCGGCTGCTGTTGAGAGAATATGTGATATCCTAGGTGACTAGTTAGGAAGTAAAGAGAAGAAAGGTAGGGGTGAATTGGATGGAATATGGTGGAGTAATCAGTAGACTGTGTGAAAAGTAGGAAGGACAATGCAAAAATGCTTGCTGTGAGATTTTGAGAGGTAATAGAAAGAACTGGGTCAAACAGGAAAGAGCTGTGCAAGAACTGTGCATAGATGTTTGGAGAAATGGGTTAGAAGTAAGAAGGATTGTGAAGGGAGGATTGGAGTGAGATCTTGAGAGAAGGGGAAGGGTGAAAGGAGATCTTGAGAGAAGGGGAACGGTAGGATGGGAAGAGGGTTACTGAGATTTGGAGAGCAACAGTTCGTCTGTGTGACAAAGTAGCAAGGATTGTGTAAAGATGATTGGGTGAGAGATGGGGTAGGGGAAGATAGGAGGGGTATTGCTTGATACAGTAAAAAGTAGTTAAAATGGGTAAAATTAGGTATGGATTGTGGGGCAAGTATTGACACTAATATAGGGAGGGAAGTTTCGGTCGAATGAAGGGGCTAAACGAGCCTGAGGATAACATAGATGAAACTAGAAATGGGTTGTGGGACAAACATTGGTACTGAGATATGGCGATTCTGCCTGGGAAAGGAACATTGAGCAGGGGGAAGGGGGGGGGGAGGGGGGAAAGGGTGAGGGAGTTTACTTCGACAAGGGGAGCGAGGGGAGAACGTTTCCTCTAGCGGTGTGCCGCCCGCTGAGAAAGGGTGTGGTGACTGGGTGCTTTTTCTTGCTTCCCGGCCACACCCTTCCCCAGAGTGCGGGGCGCTGAGTTTAGGGACTGTTTTGAACTGACCCGAGCAACCTGAGGCGCGAGCCCGGGCTGATACCCTTGAAAAACCTTTTTCTGTCTATACTGCCTGGTTTTTAAACCTATGCTGTACTATGCTTGCTGGTGATAAGCAACCGGACTGCTGCCCCCCAGAATAGATGGGGCCTGTGTGTGAGTGTGTTTAAAAAAAAAAAAAAAAAGAAACTGCGAATGGCTCATTAAATCAGTTATCATTTATTTGGTGTTCTCCTTACCACTCGGATAACTGTGGTAATTCTAGAGCTAATACGTGCAGCATATCCCGACTTCTGGAAGGGATGTATTTATTGGATAAAAGGCC